CTATTGTACATTTCTTCAGGTTATATCGGTCGCGGCACAACGTCATTCGCATGATGTTTTTCCACGTACAAGCAGTCTACAACATTCTTACGCTCTTTTGCTCATGGTTCGCACTTGCTGTGAGTACCCCACCCCTTTGTCTAAAGTCATTCCCGATCCTGAACGCACTTTATAGAATCTATACCTGGCTTTCACGACTATCATCGAGCTGGTTCTCGACCTGAATGTGTCGGTATTCAACACGAACAACGCCGCGACATTCGAGTACGTCAACCAGGTCCTGCGTTGGGTGTGGGTTATGTTGTTGTCCCTACAGGTGTGTCGATATAGTCCCCCTGTTTATTTACTCATGCTGACACGGTCAAGTTCATCTTGACGCTGGGTAATCGACCAAAGGGAGAAAAGGCGGCATACGTCATCACCTTCCTGTCAGTTTCCCGTATCTTGCTACTGCTGTAGGTCCTCACTAACTGGGACACAGGGTCTACGCTATCCTGGCGGCGTACATGGTGGTCGCTTCCATCGCGCTGACCATCGACGGCTTCGTGAAGATTCCCTCCGAACTGGCTGGGACGCATGGATTTGTCGGGTTCATGAACGAGTTCCTGAAACCGCCCGTCGGCTCGCTGATCATGGCGAGTGTGAGCACGTTCGGCATCTACTTCCTTTCATCCTTGATCTACCGCGATCCTTGGCATGTGCGTACATCTTTTACTCTCTTCGCCATCGAATAGAGCTGACTTCTGGACAGATGTTCAGTAGCTTCTTCCAGTACCTCTGCATCGCGCCCAGCTTTACAAACATCCTCAACGTCTACGCATTCTGCAACTTGCACTATGTCTCCTGGGGTACCGAGGGAAGCGACACCGTCGACGCGCTCCCGGAAGTATCGTCGAAGAAGGTCAAGAACAAAGCCGACGACAATGGCGCGACCGCAATCGTGGAGGACACGTACCGCACGCAGCAGGATCTTGATGCTGTGTTCCAGGCGTTGCAGCGTGCAGTGACGCCTCTTGAGGAATCCTACCGCACGGACAAGCCGACGCTGGACGACCAAAACAAGACGTTCCGTACTCGCCTTGTTGTCGCATGGATGCTCACAAACGCACATGTGGCGCTTGGGGTAGAGAATGCGGATGGTCTTGTACTGCCGTTGACGCAGGCGAGGCTCGCCGTCGTTGCGAAGGATTGCGGGGACCCATCTAGGGATCTAGCGACCTGCTTGAACGAGGAGCTGCTAGGTCAATAAACAGAGTTGTCAACGAGGCAATCGTACTACTTCTCCTTCATCTCGTACGGCACATTCTTCCTGGCGCCCGTGCGCTTCTCCGGAGTACGTACCGTACCTTCTTGTACCTCTCTTCGATCTGCCCACTGACGCAGTTCCACAGTCCATGTTCTATTTCTTCAGACGCAATCTCTTTCGCTGTTGCCGGAGGAAGTGATGCCGTCTCGGTGCTTAAATTGTTACGGGTTTTCCGGTACTTGGACTTTATACCGTGCTCGTCGGCGTTGTGTTGTTGTCGTTTCATTCGTTGGAGTTGGGGCACACTTGGAACACTCGGAATACCCTATCTGTGTATTATTCACTCGCATTTGTTATATACCAGACTGGACCATGCAGTCATAACCTGCCATCATGCTCCACAGTACGATGCGACTGCGGTCTCAAACCAGTAAACGCGCGTATGTCACGCGACCGTGTTAAGCGCTCATAGGCCTCGTTGCGCGTTGAGTCGCGTCCTGGAATCCTCCTTGCGATCTACTTCCACCTGTCCACCGCATTTTTGTCTGCTGTCTCACCGCTCTCCGACGTGAGGGTCGTCTCAACGTATCTCAGGGTGTCTCACGGGTGTCAACTGTTTTGCTACTAGTCTTCCGACCTAATAATACACGCCTGTCAATCAAGAACAACCGCGCAACGTCTTCGCGACTAAACAACTATTACACACCAAAGCGCCAGCTTCTCGGACATACCGGCCCTGCTCCAGCTTGGCGCAATGATCCTAAACCTGGCGCGTCGGGCTCGACTACGCGCGCAGACGTAGGTAGCAAGATCCTGGTTACGAACTTGCTATACGATGTGGGCTACGACGAGCTCAAGGTGCATTCAAGTTGGGAGCTATTACTTCCGTGTTTTGCATGCTTACTATTGATATAGCACCTATTTGAGAAGACTGTTGGACCGCTGAGAGACCTGTATGTCATATACAACAGTCAGGGGCGGTCGAAGGGGCATGCGGTTGTGTACTTTGCGCGGAGTGGCGACGCGAGTTTGGCACGGCAGAAGTACAATGGGAAGATGATTGATGGACGTGCGCACTTTCTCCATCTTGTATATTGACATACTCCTGACTGTAATACCGCTCAGGATTGAACGCTGGGTCGAGGAGTTCATCACTCTTTGGCGCGAAATGCAATCGACGCTGGATGCCGGGGAGGAGGAGGCGCGAGTCTGGGACGGCCGTGCACTGCGAGCCGACAGCCCGCTATGGTTTGGCTTGACCCTTGCGCCGGAGGAGCACACGCGGGATGCTCTAGCATCATCATACAGCAACGGCTCTACGCTCCCTGTTGATCTGAAGGCGTATGCGCTGCAACAGGCGTATATTCATCGGTCTCGTGCGCGCAGAGCTCGCTCGCTGTACGACCCTTTGAAGGAAGACGTCGAGCTTTTCCTCCGAATCCATTCGGAGCAGGGCTGGCAGTGGGATTTGGATAGCGCCGGTATGCGCGTGGAAGGCAAGTTCTGACCGTAGTACTTACTTTACCTCTTCTAACCATCACAAACGATCACGACAGGTCCTCGCTCGGGCTGCTTTCTCATCAACCAAGAAGCACAGCGCTGTACGCCATGTATTTGCCATTCTCTCGCGCTGAGTCAAGCGATAAGTGCGACTTTTACCTCTAATTCCTTTTTTGTCTGAGAAATATTTTCTGCCCGAGCATTCCTTTGCGAGCGCGAATTCTTTTCCAACCATGGATTTTTTTTGACCGAGAATTCTTTTCCAGTCAAGAATTCTGTTTCGACTTCTAACCCAAGAATTCCTTTTCGGTCTCAGTGTTCTTCTAATCTGTTGCTATTGTCTTACCCGCTGTATAGTACACTTATCCGCGCTTCGAGAACCTATAGCCCTATGAGTTGTGTGCTGAGTTTAGTATAGCCGACGTGCTTTCTACTACTTCAAATATCGCACGAAATGTTTTGTAAGAGTTGCCAACCACTTGGAATCAAGCTAATCAAGTACGAGGATTGACGTGGTAGAATGATTCTCGATGTAGTTCACGCCTCGAGACCACTGGAACAGTTGCCCCGAGACTCACTCTACCAGCAAGTAAGTCTATAGTATGACACTGGGTTGGTGAAGATATCATAGACGACGTAGCAACATTCTGGGCAATTGACTGTTGTCGACTAGTCCATCCGCTGGCGAGGTGAGCCTTGCCTTCGTAATGGTACACCGCTCTTGAGCCTGATCCACCGCACAGAATTCCACCCTCCGCCGTACAGACAGATTGTAGACTACAAAAGTAGCCATTCGATGAGGACTGGGACGCTTTCCGAAGTAGCGGCTTGCGGAGAATTTGATCTCCCACGAATTGATGAAGGTATCGAACCTGGTGCCTGCAACCGCAGAGGAGAGCCGGAGCGGGCTGGTCCCACCGATGCTGCAAGGCTCGAGTCTCTCGCGGCATCACGTTGCCATCGGTTCTCAGCGCTGCGAAGCACAAAGTCTACGGATATGTACCGTCATGGGTAGAAGCAGAACCGCATTTCGGGCGCTCAGAGCGTGGAATCGCCGGTTGATGCACTGTTACAGACGATCAGTCAGCGCTTCGACGCCGTGGGATCTTGGATACTACTCACATCAATGGTCTCAGAGATCCCAAACCGATCCACTCAGCTCAGCGCTACGCTGCACCGACACCGTCCGCATGTGCCCTATAGCGGCGCTATAGTCCGCGCCCAGTGACGAGTCACGCTTGTCGGAGGGATCGGTTCGGGAACCACCGGCTCAGTCTAGGGGCGCGGCTTCGTGCTTGGCTTCATCGGTCATCATTACTTATCAGTGCCCATCGATCATCTCCGACCAACCCACACACGGGCACTTTTCCTCTCTCGCAATAGCTCTAGAAGACTGGCTATTCCTCATTCTCCAGCCGTGCTGACCCCGTCAGGAGAAGATAGCCAGGCTATGCGATCAGTCGCGGAAGACTATCACGGCGGTGCAACTACTGGGCGCTTTACCGCGTCTGATCGTGCGCTTCCGGCTCTGTCACTGCCAGACTTCAGATGCTCAATCCTCTTGTTATTGGTCTCGTGCCTTTCGACTAACATGTCGATGAGTTGCAAGTAGTATTGCGAGACTCTAGGCATTGCGATTCCTCAGCATATGTGCCAAATGTGACATGCTAGATGGTACGAGTCTACAAAGACCGATGCTCTTGACCATGTACATTATCGTATAACCAACCATCACATCTCACACTCTGCCGTGTGCAATGCAGAAATAGCGCAGAAGCGGCCGAGAGCGCTACCTATGACCGCACATTCGGGAATTTTTACTTGAATTGCCGCATCTGATGCCTGAAGTCCGGCAGAGTTGATGCGGCTTCCTGTCAGTCGCCAGGGTCTCTCATCAGCGCGCTCGTAGACTGTGCGCACACAACTCCTCATAGAGGCGCCGCTAAGCAGATATACGTACAATTCCGTGCTTGGGGAATCCCTGGTGCGAGGCGTCCATCCTGTCGTCTCGCCTGGCTCTCGGGTATAAGAGAGCGGGGTTTACTTCGGTCCGTCCCCTACATAACACATATCGCACCCTTCAGAGCACCATCATCTAACTCAGACTCTTCGCACACATACGCATCGCAATGGAGATCAGCAACGCTAGCGATGGCCCAGAGGACGAGACGGGGCCCGCCGTCGCTCACTCCCACGTTCTAGCGCCTGACAATGCGCAAACGTGGGCCGCCATGGTGAGTGCAGACAGTTTCGAAAACGCTGGAATTCCTGTTAACTCCACCAAGTCTGACATCGCCCTTCGCCACATTTGCCGGGTGTCGACCATTTTCTCGCACCCGCAGGATGCGGAAAGCGCAGAACTCACCTGGCCCCACGATCTACCTCGTCGCGAGACGACTGTACCGAGCGTAGCAACTCCGACCCACCGTGTTATTTTGGTCAACGAGGACGCACACATCCCAGCGCAGTTCCGTCACCAGACTACAGCGCCCTACATTCTGCAAGCGATTCAGGAAATACACTCAACTTTCGCCGACCGCCCTTCTCGCACATATACGCCCTACTCGCGCATGTGGAGGTGCCCTTACACCGGGTGCAACTACATCGAGGACCTCGCTGGGTTGTCTCATTCAGCTGGTGAAGCCGTGTGCAGGATAGCAGCCGTCTCATTGGACTCGAACTTCCTCATGGATGATGTTGCCTCTGAGTTCGTGACAATCGCCGGCGGAAGATATCGTGCGCGTCGCGAATTCGTTCGGAGCGTCGTAGACATCATTGGTCTTCGCCACTATGAGACGCACTTAGCGGATTCAGGACTTCGTTGCTGGATTCGTGGCCAGACACCCGATGGTCAGGTGTGTTGGTTACTGTGCGTACTGCACTATATTATACTTACGCTCACCAGATATCTTTCATGTGGGAGCATGACGATCTGGATTTCGTGCTCCAGTCCAGAACGATTGAAGGTTGGAGAGCACGTCGACATGAGGAACTAGAGCGGCTGTCGCTGCAAAGTGCGCTATCCACACAAGCTCGCCGGTGGGCCCACGAAGCTCGTTTCTGGGGCAAGGAGGAGCTTGTTTGCCAGCGGCGCAGAGCCCGTAGCGTACATCATGAATACGTCAAAGGGCTTGCAGTCCACGGGATTCCTACTGGGCCTGGGCTACGCTTTAGCAAGCTTCGAGCGCTGACACACACCCAGTCATCAACTATACTAGGTGCCAGTCGAAGTCTCCACGAAAAGGTTTACGGTTCGTTGAAGGAAAGTGACTTAGATCACAAGGAGCTCTTGCTTCGCCTTGAACTCGCTGAGGAAGTGATCCAGGACTGGGAACTAGGGGAGGCGTGGCTTCGTACCCAGTATCAGGGCAATAGCCCAGAGCAATTCGCTCATTAGCTATAGTCGGACAATTATTACGACCTCGTCGCTGCTGTGCGCTATGATCCCCTGAACTTCATAGACAAGTTTGTACACGTACGACTATACTCAATTATGCATGCAAGTTGCTTTCATCCCGGCTACCTGATCCCGGGAGCACGCAGCACTCTCGACAAAGGAGGAGCGCTTCGACGTGAAGCTGATCGCATCGCGTCCGTTAACGTTCCCAAACGGTGACCCCGAGTGCAAGTCTGCTATTCTCGGAACCAGCCCGTATAGCCCGACATGAGAAGGGAATCTCTCTGTCGGGTAGGGCACAAAGCAGTATACTGGGCAGGGCGTATGGTCAGCGACTGCGCGCGCTACTATGCGGACATGGACGAGCGGATGACAAACAATCTTACGAGCGTGGCACGGATCTTCGCGAGAGGCGAGCCGACCGCGCAACCTGCGCTGGGCGCAGAGCAGATACCCGATACTGGGTGCATGGATGGGTATGGAAGTCGGATGCAGGATAACATACGGCAGTCAATCCGTGGAAAGCAACTAGCTTAGCCGCGCAAACTTGGATGGGCACGGTGTCGTCCCGCATGAACAGGACCGAGATGTCTTCCAGGATGCCGGTGGCTCCACGCGTGTATTAACGGTCATCGATCTACGGAAAGTAAACGGAGAGTGGCTTGCTCTCGGTGACGGGGTGATGGCCATACTCAGGAGGCCCTTATCCTTCCTGTCTCGCGGCAGCGGTTGGTTAAGCCCTTCCTCCGCTCCGTGCCTCCGTTGACAGCGGCGTCGTCGGTTGCCAGGACGTACTAGAACATTTCACGACAACCCAAGCATGCTTATGTGTCAGTGGCGCCCTTTCGCGCAGGCGTAAATTACCTGCGCGAGCACGATTGCGTCTCGTTACGAAACCGTTGAGCTCGAGCAGTTTGCAAACATACAATCGTGTCCCCCGTACAGAAACGGATAAGTAAGGCAACTCTTGTGCCAACTGCTCGGGGCCGCCCACGTCAAGTACGACCGCAAAGCCCGCACACCATTACCACACACCGTGTACCAGTTTTAGAGCTGCATGCACCGTCCACGGCATCACGCCACGACGTAAAGTCTTTCTCGCGCTGGCTCGCTTCCGTTGGGTCCACCGCCATCCGACTGCACTCGCAGAGTTCATCGGCCATATATATTGGAAGACTCTGTTCATAGCATATCACGCGGCAGGGGCTGTAGTTTCGTCGCGATTGCGAATGTAACGGGACTGAGTATTGTGCTAATCCTCTCTAAGACAGCCGCTGGTAGTCTTGGCCACACTGGGCCGCTTGTCCAGATCTCCATGCCGCGGGGGCATAGTATCGCGGGAGCAGACGATGACCGACAACTTGACGGAGGGCTTGACTATGCATAGTAAGTAGTCCAGCGCTGTGAGCCTGGGCCACCCGATGAGCTCCTCGCGTAGATTGAAATGACCATGATCGCTCACCGTCCTTGCCCAACATGACACGGATCAAGCCTCAATCTATACCCAATTTTCGTGACGCGCATAACATTCCCGGGAGGCGCACGGGTGTCACCATGACTCTCTCTCCCCTTCCATCACACGAATGAGGTGCGGAAACTTTAGCCCCTATAACATGGAGTCAGGAAGTCTGGTAAAGGTGGGCCACACCCATCGGATTCGCCGAACGTCTTAGTGCGAACACCGTCATCAGCTGCTGGCGCCGATCCTATCGCTGATGCCATTCAGTCAGTCAAAATCATGCGAGGGCTCAATCACTCACCGCAAAGCCAAGCCATGTAGACGTGAGCTAACACCAGCGAGTGGGATGACTGGAGGCGCCCGATGCGGAGACCTCAGACCTTGCGCTTGCCCGCCTGTATGCGTCAGCAAAGATCGCTCAAGCACCACAATAGTTTCCATCAGCACCATATTTCGCGGTTCGGTGCCAGAGCCTACGCCTCGGTGCAATGCGTTGGTCGCACCCCGACATGCACACCCTGCTGGATAGTAGCTATTTGAGATTTCATGGTTTGATCTTCGGGAGCGAGGGTTGAGTCGAGTGCTGGCGAGACCGAGGAAGAGCGGTCGAGAGGGTGCTGGGCAGGGGTACGGAAGGGCTTCGGGTAGCCGTAGGAGGTCCAACAGCGATAAGGCGTGAGCGGGACAATCGTAGGTCGTGGCGGTCAAGAGTAAGGGACGATCGCGCGAGTGCGTGTGGCTTGTACGCGGTTTCACGTGATGGTGTTGGCCTTAGCGCGCTCAGCGCGTAGGCGCGAAACCGGCTCCCCAGATCGTATGCTCGCCTTTGCAAGGTTGTCCGTAAGATTTAACAGGATACGAATGCCGTGCATTCTGAGTTTCTGTGTGGGACGAGCGACTGAGGGACTGGGGGACACGTGAAGGAGTGGACAGACATGCGGTTCCGCGGGCACAAAAGCTTATTTACAGTACACAGCATATCGCCTCAGATCGACCTCAGAACGCGCCGGTGTGCAAATTATCGGGATTCGCTTAGAATCTTGTCAGGAGTTCATGATAAACTACATCCGCGATTACCTGGTAATACGTACCGGATTCGCAAAGAAGTCGTAGCAACTCCTCCTCGAGAACTTGAACGCGCCGGTAATTCGCATAGGCCACAGCCGCCCGATATTTCGCCCCGGGACCTGCCCCTGCGACCTTCAGTACCCCTCGCAGGGCGGCATCGTACGTTCATTACGGCTCACTGCCATGGGGAGCCATCTTGTGATCCGGATACGTGTAAGCACAAAAGTATCAACGGCATTGGGGACGAAGGGTGACTGGTAATGCACAGTACTACTATGCAACAGATCGAACTACAGTAGCCATACCTACGGATTGTCATCGAACGAACGGGTTCGGTAATCACAAATTGCGTTGACCTGCCATGTCCTGGGCCAATACGCCATGTTCTGCACCGACGTGCCCATCCTGCATCAATCTGTCAAGTAGCTTGCGCCAACGTGCTTCCAACATAGAGGGTATTGGGTGGGCGCAAGACGATAGGGCTTGGTACAATGGAATGTGATGTCAACGGCACTGGGGGAGCATGAATGGATTGGAGGGGAGGATTATGATGCAGATATAGCAGATGGAAGCAGGCAAAGAGCGCGCCTGGTGAGGTGAGAGGACGTGGTGAGAATAGCGCAGTGGGCGTATCCTGGGCATGCATTGGGACGTGGGGATAGGAAGAGGGAGGCAGTGTACGCGTTACAGTCAACAGGCTGGCCAGCCTCGTTGAGGGTGAACTTCCGGGCAGAGTCCAGGCTGAGCGCGCCATATGGAAATGGCGAGAGCGGAGAATCTTGGCTAGATCGTTGAGCGCCTTGATATCGTGCTCGATAGCAGCGGCGTCATGCTCCTGGATAACAAGTGCGTCGCCGAGCGGCTTGCCGTCGAGTGTTCTGTGCGTTCAAGTATGACAACTTGGCCGCGCTCTTGATCATCGTCTTGCCAAACCACTTCTTCAGAATGCGCGCAATCCTGTGTCATGGCGAACACGACTGAAAATGCGAGACGCTCCACGGCCGGCACGAGCAAGCAGAGATCCTCGCTGAGAGATGGCGGGAGCATGGGAACACTTGTAGCGCGTTTGCAGGCATCGCGGTCAAGAGCGATATTGGGCTTGACGAACCACGAAACGTCCGCAATGTGAACACCGACGTCGTACATCCCGTCCTCGTCGAGCTTGATCGAAAGGGCATCATCAAGGTCTTCGGCCGTATCAGGGTCGATGGTGAAGAGACGCTCCCCGCGAAGATCCTTGCGACCTTCATACTCGCGCTCTGGAATCGTCCACGGCATCGGAAACACTTCACGACGCTATCAGCGAAGTCCTCAGTTGGGAAGTGGCAATCCTTGAGCAGCGCGCTGGTCTCAACCTCGACGTCGTCGATGGGGCCGAGCTCCTCAATTAGAGTACCGAAGGGGTGCAGGCAGTTGACCGGGTGACGCTTGATGCATGCGACGAAACGCTTGTTGGCGTATGCCTCAGAGTTCTGCACGTAATAGGGCGGCGCCTGCTCGGTAGGGATGGCGATGAGTGGTACACGCTTATCCCTGGGCTTGAAGCAGACGATCTTAGGGCGCTTGATCCGGCGGCGGGCTCGTCGCCCGCGCGCTCGCGGCGCTCAGCCTCCTGCTTCTCCTTGCTTGTCGCAGACGATGGACGAAGAAGACCCACAGTACCACTGAACAGCTGGCCAGGCATGCGCTCGACAACGACAACAACGTGGCCGGTAAACTGAGGCTTGAACTCGTCTGTAACCTCCTGAACCTCGAAAAGCATAAGACCCTCGACATCGTCCTTTATCTTGTCGTTCTTGCGACCGGCGGACGAGCGCACGTTCCTCGTACGCGCTGTTCTCCTCGCGCTTCTTCTCCTTCTCCTTCTTGTGCCTCAAATTTGTCGACGTCGAAAGTTCGACGGCAACAATATCACCCTCGAGAGCGCGGCTGCGGTCCTGGGAACCGCAGATGTAGATGTCCGCGTTGAGGACCTCGGTCGCGACGTATGCTAAGGAGCGAAGAGCGACTTGTGCTGGGGCTGATTGCTCTGCTGCTGAAGCTGTGACTGGAACTGCTGCTGGAGCACCAAGTCCGAGGCCCATCATGTTGGCGGCTATCATGTTCGGCAACACGTTCGGAAAGCTGAAAGAGTCCATCTTCTGGTGGTAACCGCCCGCGGCCTGGCAGAACTGCTGCAGACCCTGAAGCTGTGCCTGAGCCTGCGCGAGATCAGCGGTGAAGGCAGTACCGCCCATAGGGGCACCACCGTCTGAACTATGACAATGGTCAGTGGCTGATCATCCCAACGAAGCCAGGAAACATACGGCAACTGCCATCGGCACGCGGGGCCTGACGAGAGCGGCTGCCGAGAGCAGCGGGGGGCATGAAGCTGTCATCGAAAATGTCGAAGCCACTGATGCTACCAAAGCCGCTAGCTGGCTGACTATTCGACCTGTTGATAACGTTGACGCTGTGGCGGCGACCTTGACCGCGCGGTATACCCTGGGCTGACCGTCGATGCCGACGCCCATATCCGCGAGACCAAGCTGGCCCATCAGACCCTGCTGAGCGGCGGCAGCGGGGCCAGCCATGCCTATGGGAGCAATGCTTTGCACGCGGCGATGACCGCTCGCATGAGGCGGAGCTAGTTCGGGAGTCTGAAAGGACAGGACCTGGTTCGATGCGAGCTGCTGCTGGTAACGGACGGCTTGCTAACGCTGGAAAACCTTGCTGCTCCTGAATGGCGATCTTAATAATGAATTGAGTCAGCAAGGTGCAATTATCGCGAAGAAGGGAATGAGATTCACCTGCTCCGCCGTGACGCCGCGGATCTCGTCATTGCTCTCGCTGCCACAATGCGAGTTGTGTTGTTCGCCGCCGAAAACAGAGGTCATAGTACCCTGCTGCTGAGGAAACTGGAAGCCGGCGTCTTCTTCGCTGATCGCAGGGCCGAGGTTGGACGAGGGCTGACGTTGGCTGCAGCGAGCGCCAAAGGTGAAGCACGGAAAGAGTTAGGGTGGCGTCCGATATTGATGATTGCTGCTGCTCCTGAGCCTGAGCGAGGACGGCGAAGAGGGCGACGAAGTGCTGAAACCGGGCGCAACGCCCGTACGATTCGCCGCCGTTGGTGTTCGAGCTGCCGGCTGCTACGAGCGCTGGATACAGGACAGGCGGTTGTGTAGCTTTGCCGCCTAGAATCCTAAGCTCCCCGGTTGTAGGACGCACTGGCGTGAGCGTATGCGGGAGGGAGAGGGGCAAGGGAGTGCACGGGAGGGAGCATGATGGCGCAAGGCAAGAGACGCGGGGAGCGCGAAGTCGACGGGATGCAGTACCCCTGAAAACCCGCACAAAGGTGCGAGATAGGGGGCACCGGATTCGAACACCGGATTGTCTCGCACCTCACTCGGTCCGGTCTTCCGGAGCATCGGATTAGTATCGAAGCATATGCAATTAGCATTACTCATCAATTAACTGAGTCTTTTCGGTCCGAATTATGATAGGCTCGGTCGACCATGGGCGCTTTCGCCCGACGCGTACGTTTCCCCGTTGTCGGCTTGACCACGACCACGACCATCGAAGGCGTGGTCGTCTCTCCTGCCTGTGCTAGCAAATGATCTCACAGTGTTGTACACGAGTCGAGCTAGTTACAGTATCACGGCAGACTTAGCCCTCGCCAGCACTACCATCGTCTTCGCCCGCCGTCGGGTCTTGTCGCCTATTCATGTCCTTCAGTGCTTCGGCGACGAAGGCCTCCTTCCCCTCCAGTGCGCGTGCGTACGGCTCATCGGCGCGATGCAGGGTGACATAATAAGCATCGACCGAAGGCTGCGATGACAACACTACGAGGAGCTCGTAGGACTTGATGTGGCCATATCGCGAGACGTTGTGTCGGTGATAGGGGAGAGCTCCCGGTGCTGGGCGAACAAGATACCGAAATGTCTGCCCTATCCGCCCGTTCGCGGGATCTGGGAAGTGTACCCTGCCAGAGATGAGGGTGGCCGCCGCGATTGACTTGACCTGCTCTCCGAACCCGTATCGCCCGGACTTGCCACCGCCCTTCGCGTAGACGTCAGAAACTGAGGATGCATCAGCAGGTCCGGGTGCGAAGCAAGTGGGTGACACGTACTTTCGAATAAACAGATGTAACCTCGGTAGAATATCAAAGCCCAGCAGAGCGGGTCTTGTGGTTCCGCAGGCTTTGAAAACAAGAGACGAGCGTCAGATACCTCGGCGCGGTGTGTGAAGTTAGGAAGTGTATTCTTAATGAAGATTCTAGTACGCTTTGCTTACATCTGCGGGTGAGACTATGTTCAGCATATAACAGGACTGCGCTATCGAAAGATACATACCGCGCCCGCTCGAACCCCAGCCGTCACAGTGGCGTTTTGCGTATTGCCAGCTTCTGACTTGCCAGTCAAGCGTGCCTTCCGAGCCATCCCTTGGCTGGCGTGATGTCCCTGCATCTCCGAGAGAATTCCACGATACAGCTTGCCGAGAGCGGCACGCCGTCGCCGGATTCCCACATCTCCTTCTACTGTGGGTCTTCCAGTGCCGTCATTGACCGTACGTTTGCGAACAACACGTCTCGTGTGCTCGGACTCCAGATGCTGGTGGAGGTCGAGTAGGTGGCCGATGTTGAAAAGAGATGGTGTCGCACGCTCGCCGGGAACTTCCACAGCTGGTAATCGGTTGGCCAGACTAGCTCCGAGTACTGTTGAGACTTCCCGGCCTGATAGGACAGCCGAGACGGACAGGGCATCCTGCTGCCACATGTCGTCGGACATGTCAGGAAGACTCTCCCTAAGTGATCGTCAGTAAGGAGGGGACGAGAGGTTGCGAGTAATCGTACATCATTGTATCTTGTTCCGCGCTAAGTACGACGGCCGCGTAGGCAAGCGCGTGTAGCTGCTCGGTCTGGTCTTCGGATGCCGCCGTCGCCGCTTCGGCCTCTTGAGCGAGTGCGTGCAGTTCTGCATGTGACAGACCTACGTAGAGATCAGTCCATTCATTCATTCCAAGGGTGCATCAGATATACCTTCTTCGTCTGAGGAGCTCGCATCGTCTCCGCCGTCGCTGTCTGCATCACAGTCGTAGTCCGCATCGTCAGCTTCATCTTCAATGAAGGCAGATCCCCAACCGCGATCTGCCTCGCCAAGAATCCAAGGCCACGCCGTAGTTCTGTACTCCGCACGCTCCAGCAAAGCGACGTTGATGGACAACATCTCGGCTATGCTGGCTGCTTGGGAGTATACGCGCGGTGCGGCCTCTAGGATCTCAAACTGCGACGGCAGCTCGAAGCAGCGAGCGAGAACCTGAGGGGACAATGGTGTATTGTGTGCGAGGCCGTGATTGTAGCCATTAGAACGACATGTGGAATGGCGCTCGATGCCCGCGATCCTTTGCCGAAGCTTGACAAAGAGCTTGGGAACAGCATATAGGAAGTCGAGTGCGGTAAAGTCCTTCACAATGCCTCGAGTCTCGCTGAATGTTAATTCGGCGTTACGTGTACCGACAAGCCACGGAAGTAGCGGATACTTCCCGTCAAAGTCATCGCAAAAGATCATGATGAGCTGTAGAAGCCCATTCACAAGAAGGCGGGCGACGTCGAGTGCTTGCGCAGACATGAGATGGTGTTTGCGTGGGTAGTCCATTGAGACACAGAAGTCCTTCCAGATCTCCATCAGATAGTAAGCGCGCAGGACAGCCTCGACCCGTTCCATCATCGTGATCTCACGGCTCTCGTACGCATTGACAAGGCCACTCAAGATGGCGAGTAGGACAACTGTGGCGCGTGTTTCAGTCGGACGATTAGCGTGCATCCAACGAGCAGTCGTCGAAGAGAAGCACGCCATGGCAGTGTTGTCGGACTGTTTGTCGGCCTTCACCACATCATGCCTGAGAAGCGGACCGCCCTCTTCCTGCGTACGCAAGAAATGCCGGTAGCCCGTGGTGTATTCACCGACCGTGATAAGGAGGTGCCCGTTCGTGCAGTTCGAGCGGAATACCTTCAAAGCGTGCGACGGGTCTGTGACTTGAGCGAGAGGATGAAGATGTCCAAGCGCATCCTTGATAAGGGGGATATCGGCGTGTAGAGCGCGCTTCTCGTCCGAGGGGTCGGGAGGATACGGGATCACGAGGGGGCGGCGCAACGCCGAGTGCTCGTAATGATGCTGTACTGAGCGCTCTTTCTGAGCTCCATCGGCGGCCATGCTGCACACTGCGATGTCGTGCAAGTACAAGCTCTGTAACAGTGCGTCTTGGTGCTCGATAAGACTGCTTGCGTCGATGGTCGCTGCGATGGGCATGGCAGCCACGACAATACCAGGAACACCAGGACAAGCAATCTGTGCTGTCCACACGCGAAGCTGATCATGGATACGTGAGAACGTGAATGGGAGCTTCCTCGAAGTACGTACATGTGATGCCTTGGCATATGCACCTTCTTGGATTGCCTTCCGGAGGATGTCGGGATCTGGGAGGATAGGTGGCTCACCCGGGGTGCCAACCAGGATGTATGCGTCTTTCTCTACGCTCCAGAATGCGTCGAGAGATGCAGTAATGTCGGTATCGTCCTCTGCAAGATGCACAGGACCATCGAAAGAGAGCTTCGCCAACGCTTCTTTGAGCAGCAATGGTGTCCTCACGCGATCTATACCGATGGGAAAACGTGGCTGTCGTGCGCGCTCGTTTCTGTACAGCGATGAGTGCATAGTACCACAAAAGGCGAAGATAGATGCTGACTGAAATGTGCGTGGGGTGGGCAGATTGAATACACCTTGCACGGCAATGAATGCACTCGGGCTCATGATATGAATACGATGAGCCCAGTCCTTCACAGATGGCGACCATCGGAAACCTGTCTTGCTCTTGCCGTCCGAGATCAACTTCTGAATCTGGACCTCGTGCTCTATGAGCCCTATGAATGTCTCGCGACCCTTGAAACCACCCTGAAGAGCACAATCTGCGAAGGTGACAAAGATAGAGCGATCCCCTTTCGTCTAGAGATCGTGAATACGAGCATTACAGTACGCAATCTCAAGACGTACCTTCTCGAACTCCTGCAAGATATGAAAGAAGCCACGTTGGACAGCGTGTTTCTTCGTAGATGCCACAAGCTCATGTTGCATTGAGAGCGGAGCATACTTTGCGTTGGCGGGGTTGGTGGAGAAGCGACGGGAACGTGCTACCTTGAAAGCAGGAAGCTTGCGCAGAGCCTTGCAGTCGATGCAGGGAGGAACTTTGTTAGCTGCGAGTGAGGGCGAGGCGTGTATGATAGGCCTCTTGCATGATGCAGAGCGAACGGCGGATAGATGGCGTTCCAGAGTCCATTCAAACTCCCCCTCCTCAATTCGCAGTACGACGAGCTGCTCGTCCTGAGAGAGGAGTTTGAAACTCCCATGCCCGTATCCCGGATACTGGGACCGGACTATCTTGTAGCGAGGACGCGCACCGCCTCCACCTAGGATAGCGTGGAGTATATAACACGCAAGCTTTGAGTCCTCCATCCCGCACAAACCGGGACAAGGATACTCGGTCAGGGTGACAGCGGAGGAGGGATCAGGCGCTAGCACGGCCATGCCGTATGTCGGTGACGCGCCATCGCACAGACCAGCATGTCGTCGAAATTGCTCTGGTCTATTGAGAGCGCAAGATATCCAAACTCCGCAGAGCGAATGCTTGACCCGACGATCGTCGTTGGGGTCAAAGCTCGCATCCGCATCGAGCGCGAGAATCTTGTCACGGAACGCATCACGCGCGCTTTCATTCGACTTGAGTCCGGCTTCGACGAGGAACTGGCGTTTCCGAGCTGCCACCTGCGAGCGACCATTGCCGCTTGTTGATTTCCGACCATCATTGTCGTACCGGATCCATGGTAGCCGACCATCTGCGTCTTCGAACTCGGCGACATCGATGACCTCTCTTGGCCTCCCTCGTGTTGCTGCAGCTACAGTCAATGTTCGTCGGCCTCGCCACAAGACGAGCTTACATACCAGCCTTGCGACGCTTCTTGGACGGCGATGCTGGACCTGGGTTGACAATGCCCTTGTCGCCCTCTGCGTTATTGGCCACATCGAAGGTGCGCTTTCCCTGCGCCATCGAATGTAGCACAGCTGACGTCTCGGCTAGAATATTGTCAGTGCCATACTGCGTCGAGTCCGATGAAAAACCCACCACCTTTCTGCGACTGCGAGTCAGGTCGTGCTGTCTGCGACTGCGAGTCAGGTCGTGCTGGCGGCGAAGGAGAGGTTATGGGCTGAGGATAGCTAGTGTTGACAGGTGGTACTGCAGTGGGTATCGCCTCTGTAGTCGCAATGAGCAGACGTGCGCATGTATATCGTGAGCTGCGGGGTCTACCTATGGAGTTGCTTTTTGCGACGTAATCCGAGAGACGAAGAGGGAACTCGGCTTCGTCGTCTGTCTCGTCGTCCTGCAGCTGGGAAACAGCATCTGTGGCGCCATCGTCTGCAAAGATCTGTCCCGATGTCAGTCTCGGGCAGTGAAGTGACTAAGATGGGGAGGCTCGCCTTCCTCGCAGCCTGAAGCAGTGCCGCGAGGTTGTTTTGTTGTTGTATGATCTAAGCTATATCAGCTGCGACTGATACCTATAGGGATGATCAAGCTCACTTCGGCATGGCGGCTCCCGATACGCAGGTACCACTTGACGCGTTCGATATCGCGGCGCTCCGGCGTCCATCTAGCATCGCCAAGGAGTGCATATGCTACTGTTGTAGCCACGCACACGCCACAGGATATTCCGTCGGTTTGATAGTGCTGGGGCAAAGATGTGACTGGACTGTACGTATAGCTACCCCCTGTGCGTGCATGCAACCACCACTCGATCTTTCGTCTTATCTCTCGAACTGAGTTATTGGGCAGGCTGTCGACTATTTTTTGTCAACTAAGTTGCTTCGGATGATGAGAATACGCGCACCCAGTGTGAATGTCCTGCTGTCCGGTTTGATCTCGGCGAGTAAGAAGTGGCCATAGTCATCCTCGTCCTGTGCGCTGAAAGACTGATAGATGGGGAAAATGATGTTCTCGCCCTTCGCACCCGACGGGACCTTCAACGCCTTCTCGATCGTTAGCATGAATTGGGGATCTACGCGGTTATCGTCGCTCCAGTACGACTCCTGCTTCGCTTTGTTGATCGCCGCCCAAACCTCCATCCCATGACCCTTGTACGTGCTCGATACTCTTCGCGCCTTTGCCTCGTCTATTGACCACCGAACCAGCACATCAACGAGGTTGTCGGTGATCATACAGCTCCGCAGGAGTGGAAGGAGCTTCTCGACGCCGACTCCCCCCTTGTAAGGGCTACCACACCGAGGCAGACGTGAGTGCAGTTGCCGTGCTTGCACAACCAGCGCATGGTCAGCTGCATTCGACTTGTTATGAAGACGAGTGAGCCAATCACTGGCCCGCTCTACTTCAACCTGCATCGTGCGCGACTCGTAGACTCGCCGGCAGAATGGGATGGCCCATAGGGGAAGGTAGGTTTCGTTGTAACGGGTGTCACTGAAAGATCGATACCCATCCACGATAGCCTGGCGGACACGTTTCTCGGCGTCTTTCAAGACAACGAGAGGAGGGAGCTGTCGGTTATCGCCTAGGAAGTGCCGAACGGCCCCATTGGGCTCGCATTTGGAAAAGATCGGCGCCGCACTCGACACCAGATCGTAGCAGAGCTTTGCAGGTGGTCCCCACTGAATGAACTCTGAGCACGATAAGTTCTCTGCAGGAAGGTAACGCTCGAAGACAGGAGGAATAGCGAGTTGTCTCTTGATATAGTGGCGAAGACCAGGAGGAGCAGAGAGGGAATTGTACGTCTTTCCCTTGCCGATCCAGTTTGTGGTGTCGAAGGTTTGATTCTCTTCATCCGAGGAGTCGCTGAGCTCGATGAAGTCGGCCATGATGCGCGAGGATTGTGTACATCGGTCAGTACGATGTTCATAGTACTTATGAAGGTCTACTTGCTGACATCTCCTGTACAGCGCAGTTCGAAGTTTTCCGGACCTGCTCTGTACACCAACGAACATGGCGAGTACATATCCTCTTCAGACTGCACTACATTAACGACTCCACATCGCGCTCGAATATATCTCCTTCTCAGTGTGAATGACCGGCTCGGCTTCTCTGGTTACTTTACCATACCCCTTCGGTAGTAGGATGTACCTTGCTAGAATTGTACACTATTATATGATTTACAATGCTAGCCCGTATACTTATCAGCTAGGGCTACCGAAGCGTACCGAGTACATAGAGTACATTATCTGAGAGTCGGTACAAGTGGGTACAGTGCAGTTCGGATCTTGTGCATCCGGCGCTATCCGGCCCCTGGTACCACAGCTGTGCATTGCTTACAGACTCCAAGATGTTGAATAGAGTGAAGAGTCGATAGCTCGCCATATTGTGCGTGCGGCGGACACGATCGTGATCATTGATGCTGGGTGAGGTCGCGCGCTGGACGCGTCGGTCTCGTGAGCGCGTTGCGGTGGACCCATGAGTGCGCGTCGTCAGCGATCTCATCGCCGTCTCATCCTTTCCTCCCAAAGGTACTCTCTTCTCTTGACGCTTTGCTTCGGAGGATACCTGTTCAGGCTTACCCAGTTCACGACCATACTTTTCACTGGCTCTAAACTATGTATACTACCTTTACTACGAGCCCGCGCAACACGCCGGCAACCTCGCGCACATCATTCAAACCCTAAAGCGTCCTTCGCACATCCGGTCCGATTTCTGCAATCCGGTGCTCGGCGTATCGAACCCCATCCCCGAGCCCCGGACTATCTCGAACCTCCAGCTTACTAAGCCCCGGATCATCTCGAAGGACAGCCCCGGATTCGTCTCGCACCTTTGTGCGGGTTTTCAGGGGTACTCGGGATGCCCGTGTCATCCGCGCTAGCGGAGCCGCGCGTCTTACAGTACTTACAGTGCTGTAAATCAAACCCCGAATTTTGGCACATTTGGACTGCCATAGATATCGTTGTGACGGACTTTCGCCTGGACGCTGCTTTGACCTCGGACGGTGCTGGCGACGATGTACTCTACAAGATTGGACGTACTTGGGCTACGCACCCGGCCCACGTATTGTTCAAGAACGACTGCGACAATGTCCAACTTGGCTGGCCGAAGAGCCCGAACCCCCCCCCCCCATT